CACGCCGGCAACGGCGGTTCAAACTGGCTCATACTGAAAGCGTGCGCGCCAAACACAAAACGCGGAACGATGATTGGTGGAGAGGAACACCCTTCTGCGCATGCGCGACCTAGGCCACGCCCCCTGTTAAAATTACTCACAAAAGGTAAATCTACCTTTAAAAAATAAGGAGTCAGAAAACCACATTTAAGTACTTATACACCCGTACGAGTTCATGCATGTTACTTGTTACAGGTACCTGTTTTTCAATAACAAGTAGTAGAAAAACATGCTGGTAGAGTAGCCCTACACCACCGATTCTGGTTTGTTAGGTAGAGGTACCCTCTCTTCTGGGTAATGGTACCCGAATCTGCATGGTACTGTAAACCCATATCAGGTACATTGGCTACAATGTGTGTAAAAAGAACCATAGGTGTACAGGGACCCAAAATAAATGGTGTATAATTATTTCTGTCCGAGTTTTAATATCCGGAGAAATCGGGATACCGGTAACCATAAGTGTAAAATTACCGGTAGAGGGGTAAATTTTTCTCTGTGTGCCCCTTCTTCCCATGGGGCATATTCAGGATAGGTTATAGGTCCGGCGGGGGTTCGCAGCACGAGCTTTCCCTAGGGTGCTCCTCCGGACTCCGGTCAGGAACCAGCGATGACACCTAGAAATAGCTGAGCGGTACGGGTTTGACCTTGTCCCTGGCCTTCCGAACCGGTTCGGCCATCGGAGTATAAAGCGTGGCGAGTTGGGTGAGAAGCCATCAGTCTCCTGAAATACCAGACGGGGTCTACTTCGCTCAGGAACACAAACTCAACAAATATGAAGCTGGTAATGCCACGACTGTTTTCTAGTTCAATATGACCTGAATTATGCTGTTTTAGTTTAAAATGCATATAATTTAACTAAACGTTAGCTTTTTCTGCTATGACTATTATCACAGCCGTTACTTTTCTGCGCCTAATCGGGTGCTGGGGTCAACCGTCTCACAAAAGTGTAAGGAGAAAATGTAAGGAGAGGGGAGAAGAACCCATTGTAAAATCATTTTGAGTTCATAAAACATAATTTGAACCCTTTTGAGAAGTTATATCTGATACGTTGAGACGTTACAGACTAAAAATTGAGACAATTAAATGTTTGCCATTCTAGTAAATAAGGAATGGAATCATGGAAATATCAATGCACAATAAAACTATGATCATTTACTAACTTTGTAAGGTATTTTTGATATTCCTATTTGCAATTAAATGTGAAATATTCAATGCACATTTGACAGGTCTCATAAAATCTATTATTCAATCATGTCCGAACATATGCAAATGAATTTTGCCGGCTTGTGACAATGCTATCTTGTTTTATCCGCAGATTGTTCTGTTCGCCTTTGTGGCTGTGGCCGCCGCCGCCCCTCAGAACCAGCCTCTGGTCAAGATTCTGAGCCAGTCGTTCGATCAGGATGACCAGGGCAGCTACCAGTACGCCTACGAGCTCGACAACGGACAGAGGGTGAGTTTCGAAACTCTAGCTACTTTAGATCATGACACTCCTCGGGCATACAGTTAGGTGCACAAAGTTCTCACGAAGTTCAATTGTTGTTGATTTCGAAATAGTTTTTATTTCAATATTTACGTCCTTTTACACGATTTGTTTTCTTATTTTCAGGCTGACGAGGCTGGCCAGTCTATACCCGGCCCGGAGCCCGAGACGGGATCCATCGACGTCCAGGGCTCCTACGCCTTCCTCGCCGACGACGGCAACACCTACTCGGTGTCGTACCGGGCCAACGAGGGTGGCTATCAGCCTCAGGCCGACTTCCTGCCGGTGGCTCCTTCCCAGATCCCCGAGTACGCGCAGCTGCGCCAGGAGCACCCGGAGCTCTTCTGGGCCGAGACTCAGTAACTGAATTCCCTTATCAAATGACCCAGCGAAGTGTGAAATAAAATGTTTGAACCATCCTGATCAAGTTTGTCGGTCTTACGTGATGGATTAGTCCACCGCGCATATGCTCGCACATGCCACACGCTACTCAGAGCATCAACAGAATTGCATGGTGCAGGAGCACCGCGCTTCACGCCTCGGTTACGACGGTGACACGGTCGTTGGTGAGAGCCTCCATCGTGTGTGCATGCGATTTAAATCACATATATTTAGGTGATATTGACTTTAGCAAGAAACCGACACTAAAACAACGATGTTAGGCTTCAAACGTTCAAATAAAGAATACCGATTTATCGGTAAGCACGATCGGTACTAAATGAAATACGATCATGTTTTTTTATTCACATGTCACATGGAGTATTGCAGTGGCTTATATTTATGATAGTAGTAAGAGTGAGTGCCCATTGGACGAACACCATCGTGCTCGTCTAAAAATGCTGGAGACGTGCTTATAGTACGCATATAAGCACATATCCAGCTTTTTATAGACGCAGCTCTGCAGCGGTGAGCTTTAGCTCACTTGAAGGTGCACAAAATCACAACGTGAGCTCTCCTTCGATCAGAGGGCCAGCCATTGTCCACCGTGCCGGCCAGTCACCGCCGTCAGCCGACCTTAAACTGAAGCATAATGACGTAGTATGTGAGAACAAAGCTGAACAGCGAGAGCACGGTGCTCTTCTGGACGGTGCACAGACCCCACACATCCAGCTCGGGCGGGTGGCGGCTCCACTCCATCATCTGCCGCAGCTGGAGACGAGCGGTCGCTGTCGGACGCATCGGCCACCGCAGAGCCGCCAGTCCCTCTTGTAGCCTGCGGCCGCTCTGCAGGAGACGACTGCCCGCACAGTTTACCACCGCCAGCCGCGCCGTCATAGACAAGAGGAACACCAGATGGGTGTTCACGTGGAACAGGGAAGGACCGGCTGTGCTCAGGTAGCCTCCGATTAGCAGACCGCCCGCAGCCGAACTGTGCATACTGAGAGCAGGCAGGGAGCAGAGAGACGAGCAGTCGGCAGCCAGTCGGCGTGCTGAGCCGTACAAGGAGGCCAGACGATCCAGACGCTCCGCCGCCTGACAGGCATTAGAGGAGCCGGAGCTGGGCGTATCGGGGGTTGGATCTGGATGGTCCGGAGAAGTGTGTGAAGACTCAGAGGGAACGACTCGATGAGGCAGAGACGAGGTCCAGCAAAGTTTTGGTGGGGATTCCGCGTTAGACAAGTTGGGACGCTTAGCAAGCGGACAGAAATCATCATTTCTAGCTACAGGCAGGCCTGCGTTCGATTTGGTGTCGTCTTCAAGAACTGCAACATCGCCGCTTTCAGCACTGCTCACGTACATCCTGCAGTACCTGTCAAGACGAAGCTGAACCACGGCCAGAGCATCAGCAAGACCAGCCAGCACTACATCCAGCGTCACGTGCAGTGTTATTAGCATCACCACAATGACCACCTGAACTCCGAGGATCACATCATACCAGGGTGGCTCGCGGAGAGCCACTGGTACCGCCCACGGGATCAGGTATCGTGGGTGAGCCAGCGGGTCAGAGCCGAAGAAGCTTGCTATCCAGGTGAACACCTCCAAGCCGAAAAGAGCTCCAAGGAGGGCTGTTTGACAGTACACGGTGGTGTGGTCGCCTGATCTACTACAGAGAGCAGTGGCGGTTTCCAGGGTCTCCAGTCGACACAGAATGGCGTGCAGTCGACGCCTATTGCGAAGTAGAAGCACCAGAGCAACCAGCGCGTGGCAGATGGCGCACAGTATCACAAGACTAAACAGCAGATCCTGACCACCGGGCGATCCGTGACAGTGGAGTCCACTAGCGGCCACGGATGTGAGAAAGAGAGCCAGCGGCAGCAGACGCCCGGCCTTCCACGTGCGCCGCTGCTGCTCAGGCTCGTGAAGACCACTGAGGGTTAGTAGTGAGCAGACCAGCAGTACGCACCGCAGCAGTCGCGTGTGCGTCCACATGACCAAAGATTTAGGTCGGACTTGACCAGCCAGCGTTCCGTTGTAGACTAGCTGTATGAGGCTGCGAGTTGATGCGTGGTTAACGACGAACGATCCTGCAAAGACCACAGTGCGGCACAGCGTCTTGTGACAGACTGACGACAGACTGCGACAGACTGACGCCATACGAGAATGTCGATATCTGGTGCTAATGTGTTGGAATGAAAGAACGCTCACGGACATAGGAGTGTAAACTTATTTATCAGCGATGGCCCCTCGTTAGTTTCGCTAGAATATGGCTGGCTTTTGAAGGTACACAAAGACCCAATGGTACACACTCGTCACATGATGGGCGATGATGAGGAAATGAAATGGTTAGATACACATGAAAGGCGATGGAAAGTTATTATACCGCAGTCGTTATGTGCTTTTCGCAGAAATACGATGCACATTGCACATGACCATGTGTAAATTGTCTGCAGTAGGCTTACCAAACTGTGAAGCCATCATTGATTTTCATTCTCAGTAGCATGCATGGTTCAATCACTCATTACCTTTAGAAGTCCGTGTAATGCGCCAATTCACATTACGCCCATAGTTCACGGAAATGAGTGCCCACCATGCGTCGCAATGGCAGTCAATACAACATTCAGGCGCTTCCTTATTTTCACGGCATATTCAGAGTACCATAAAGACCTTCGCTAAAATAGCTCGTCAGATAGTGTTCACCGCCTTAGTTCCCCGGGCGTTGATAACGCTGCGCAGTGCGCAGTAAGTTGATGTGCCGCTATTGAATACTGAAAAGTCATAAGCTATTACCTACGTTACAGGTTCCATAACGATAAAGAACAAAACAGTTCAATGACAAGGAAACATGAATCGATCCTACGTTACAGGTTCCATAACGATAAAGAACAAAAAAGTTCAATGACAGGGAAACATGAATCAATATCTATTCATAAGAAAAGCAACATAACAGCGGCGTCACATAACCTTGAACAGGAACATAATATGGAACAGTAAGCACCTACATGTCGTCTATCAAAGATCGGAAGAAAAAGGCCGTCTCCGAGACTGTTCGCAATGCCAACATTAGCCGCCCAGTAACAGCCCGGCAAAAGACATTGGGTTACCGTTCACTTGTATTATTTCACTGTCACATAGCGAGCGCGGGCACAATATTATGGGGATCGCTAACAAAGCCATCAACAACGGGACTAGAGATTTGAACGGCCCGGCTTGACCGTCCGGTCGGCGGTCTGACCCGCACGCGCCAAATTTCAACAACGCGACCGTAAAACTGACGCAGATTTCTCCCCGCCGGCGCAGGGCAGGTAGACAGGCGCACTTCTAGCTTCGTTTCGCCAGCAATCCCCAAAACCCGGCGGATTCGTAACAGTGACGTGCATGGCCGTCATCCTTCTCAAACAGCGCTCCACCAATCAGGCGCCAGCTTGCATCGGCATCCGCCAATCAGGCACTAGCGCGCATCAGCGGCGACCAATAAGGCGGCCTCAGGCACCAGAGGCGACCAATCAGACCTCAGCTCGCGACAGTAACAACCAATCCCATTGCACCGATCCGTGACCCGCTCGCAGCAGCCGGTCACGTGACTCTCCGACCCTTTCTCCGCCAGCCAATCACGACTCACCGCCGAGCCGCGGCGGCCAATCACGGCTCGCCAGCAGATCGCGTCCACCAATCACAGACTCGGCACAAGACGCCGCGCATTTCGCCGAACTCAGTCGATTTTCAGCGTGTAAAAATAAATCGGCGGACTGTGCGCCGGTCAGCGTGACTAGACAGGACCCGAGCGGGTGACGAGCGGGGGCTCCTCTCCCGAGACCAGACGACTAGACGTGGGTCGAGCCGGCCAGCTCAAAGAACAGCACGTACGCCTCGCCGCTGTTGACGTTTCTCTGGTTCATCACATGGACCCTGGAGACGGAGGGAAGAGGGCGTCACATTACATACTCTGTCGTGGAACAGCCGGAGTGATTGCGATATGAGACAGCAACTTCTTCCAGAGTGGTACCTCAGGCATGTGAGTCATATCAAAGCCAGCATAATCTTCCTCATAAATGCATATGCCCGGCTTGTAGGCCATGGCTAATCTACAACATCGCATGACCTCCCATCGCCCCCACAAGTCACTGAGCCGTCACATACTCCCGAGTCTGTGACGGCCTGTCGGTACGTACCGCGAGTCGTTGTACTCGTACCACTCGGCCGTGTACGGGTGGCGGCAGTAGGCCGTGTAATGTCCCGAAAACAGCGTGCCAGAGTGGTTCGCCACGCCGTACAGGTTGTACCTGGCAACGCAGGAGGGATATGGTTAGTGATTGCAGTTAGGGAGATATAAAGTTCGTATAAAAGCACATTACGCCAATACTACTTCATTAATCCGGATAATCCGTCATCTCAGAGGACACCCGACGACACCGATACCCCTTGAAATCAAATTTCAACCCCAGCACGATCCTAAATGTTATATCCCACACCAGCGGGCCCCCGTCCACACAGCAGTGCTCGGTCCAGACTAGAGGTGGCAAAAGATGAAAATTTTGGGAACCAGACTCGAACCAGACCCGGCTGGACATTTCTGGAACCAGTCGGACCCGGTCTTAGTTGGAATCGGAACCATTTGGACCCGTTCCCCGAAAGTCAATTAATGCAAACTACTTGTAGGTGTCATTAGTTGCATCATGTAAAACAGCCTATTTCCCACTGGGAATACTCATGAGCTACTGTGTGCAAAGAAACATTCACTTCATTTACTTAATATTTTGCAATAATGTGTAGTGTGCAAGATGTATAGTTTATGGTAGGACCCGGTTGGACCCGTCATAAAATTTCCAGGAACCGGTCTGGACCCATATGGGTCCAGACTGGTCCTTTGGACCGGGTCCTCGGGTCCACATTTTGCCACCTCTAACACGGGCAGGCGCAGGGGCGAGTCTAGGGACGGAGGCCAGTCCAGGGACGGATCTATCACACTAAAACTGTCAAAACGACCGCGACTAGGACTCAGACTTCTAACTCAAGACCCCAAACTACTTTGTCTTGATCTAGTTTAGTTTCCCTTGATCCCCCTTGCCTTTTATACCCGACACCGAGTTCAAACCCGACCGTGACCTCGAGCCATAACCTAACACCAAAAAGCCGTCCGCCAAACCCGAAAACCCCGACCTCGACTCTCGCCCCCTTTGATCTGAGCCCCTGACACGTACCGGCAAGGCGTCTGTCCGGCCGAGTAGGGCGACAGGTCCAGGCCGTTCACCGAAAAGTCGACAGTGGTGTTCAGCTTCCCGCGGAACCTCTCCTGCGGTGAGAACCGCTTCAAGTGCACCACGAGGATGCGCGGGAACTTCTGGATCGAGAAGCTCTTGGTGCACTTTTGGCGCTTCTGGCACTTTGAGCACGTCTGTGGTAGAGACAGCGAGGTTAGGAGCATGCACAGTGCATTGTGATAACGGTTGCTACAATCGAGACTCACCAGTTGAGTGCACCAGTGCAATCCCACTGAAATGCAGCTAGTTGGGATTTAATTACACTATACATCAACGCCAAACGACTCTTGATCAAAGCTTTGCACCAGCCTCCGTTCCCTCATTTTCCTACAAAACTTAGTCCACTTATAAATTCTGGGAGATTTCTCACCGGTTTTTCGTCGCCATCGAGCACCTCCTCTTTGGTGAACAGGTCGAAACAGGCCTGCAGGCGCACCTGGCCGCTTCGAGACGGGATCGGCAGGCTCAGGTCCCAGAACGGGTCAAAGGTGACAGACGCGTGGCCACACACTGTGCACCTGTGAGGAGGGAGAAGGTTGTCACCCATTGGTGGGGGTTGTCACCTATTGGTGTGTGTGTGGGAGGGGGCAACACTCTGTGAAGAGGGATGGCAGGGTGTGCAGCGCACGCTAGGACATCGGAGAAGCCATACCCAGACGTTTGGGTGACGTGCCGAGTTAGTTTGACAATGATCATTGATCAGTAATGGTAGGCTCGAACATCTGAATGGCAGAGTGCCGGAAACGGCTTGAGGCATAGAATACTGCGAAATGAAAATAGAAACGGAAAGAACGCTGTGGCCAATCGAAAATATGTACACTTTTCAACAATGTTCCTACTCCCGTCTCTCATCATTATGTCCAAATTTTAGCATATCGAGACCTACCAAGCCGCCGGGAAACGATCTGCCTAGGACCATGACACAGCCGCTAAAACAGCTCGTGGTTCTAGGATGTTGTCTCTGAATTCTGATGCTAATAAAAACCGCATTTTCAAAAAAAACAGCCCGTGGTGGTGTCTTCACTCACCGCAGGGTAGACTTGAGCTGGCCCACAAACAGGTCGACAAACTTGGAGTTTTCCAGGCGCAGAAAGCGCTTCCAGGCCTCCATGGACTTTTGGCTGGCGCTGAAAGCAGACATCATAGGCCGGTAAGTACACTGCCGTATGGTGATATTAGCCGCTTTCACGACGGGCTATCCGGCGAGTGCACATAATTTGACCAAATCTGCACCTAATCTACACCAAATGTGCACCAAATGTGTACCAGATGGCCGTCGTGAAAACGGCTATTATGCGTTGGCAGTCAAACGTTGGCAACAGAACTAAAACTAATATTCAATGATGCCTCATGACACTGAGTTCACGTTTATGAGATACATTTTACAACACCCGGTTATCATCAGATCGTGCCAATGTTGAACTCTGTCCAAACTTGTTTTGTTTGCATTATTTAAAAAAAAGCAAGCACCATTGTATATTACACTTCGACTGAAAGCTCCCGGGTAAAAACTCAGTGTCTATCCGATCTAGACCATCGACTGACTGTGGGACTGACCTCAGCGAGTCGTCGATGTCGGTGGTGATCGGCTTGGGCCGGCTCGTCACCCGGTTCACGTCCTCGTGAAGTCCCTCCAGCAGATAGCTGCCGACAGAGGGCAGTGTCAGTCACATATCGACAGTGCGGGGTATTGAAACGGGTCATATCGGGCACTGAGACACGCATACAGCGCCACAGCACGATTGACAATCATCCTAGACCAGCATCAACCACATTTGGTGTTGCCATCTATCAACCCAATAACACACGGTTCGACCAGGGATGAAATGAAGGAATAAGCGTGGATTCCGTGGCAGAGCTACTGCGCGTCTTGACATTCATCAAAGAAGCCTCCTGACATTTACAGTACTACATTCACAGTAGGAGTGCGGAGGCGTGTTCACACTCCTTGTGTAGGAACTCCTGGGGCGCCCTGGCACTCACCGGAGGAATTCCTGGGCGTCCTGCTGCTGATATCCCATAAATCGCGGTGCAAAGCGCTGGATTTGTGATTTGAACGGTGCCGTGGTTAGGACTCGGTCCGGTTCGTCGGAACGCTTCCAGAGGTCACACATCAGCGCGCCGAAAGCTGCAAGAGAAGGTTTAACGGTCAGGGATCGGCAGTCAACATGTCAAGGATCAGGGGTCACGGGTCAGGGGGACATAAGTCAAGGATCACGGGGATCACGGGGACTAAGAAAAAGGGACACGGAGACAGAGCTCAGAAGTCAATCGATGGACATCAATGGTCGGGGTCAGCGGTCAGAGGCTAGGTAACACGGGTTGAAATCTTCAAACAATGAATATGCCGACGAATCTTCAAAAACAGACTTTTTTGTTTTGTTTTGTTGGGTTAGGCCCTTTCGGTCCAATGAGACCATTTCAGAGCCGGGAGGATGATAGGATAAAGGGGGAGACATTGGTCTGGGCAGGCACCCTAGTGAGTCGCCGGGGCTGAGCCCGTCCAGAGGACAGGCCACCCAGCCCCAAGGCACTCATTGCACCTGGCTACGGGGTGCGCTCCCTCGGGAGCAGCGGTGCCGCTCCAAGGGAGCAGCCCGAATGAGATAACGTTGCCTGTCCAGCCCGGAGGGGGGGTTGCGGCGTGGAGGAGAAGGATTTCAGTATCCTGAGGATAGAAGCACGGAACGGTGGTGGTGTCAGAAACAGTCACCGTCGGAAACGTTTCATCAAGGGGCAACCTATCCCATGTACCGAGAAGGTAGAAAATATACAAAAGAAGAGGCTAAAATCTGTCCTGATACTCACAATGATGCATCAGAGTGTCGATAGGCAACATAAACTCACCATTCCATCCAACCTTCATTCCTAGCGGGGGCACTGTCATGACAGAGTTGACTGGGGCAGCACTGCCGTTCCCCAGACCTCAGTGTGATTACCTTTGATGAGCGCCCCCTTCATGGCGGACGTTGTGGTGTTGATGTCCGCGGTGTACTCCTCCCGCAGAATGTAGTCGTGCAGCGCCCTGGTGTTACTCAGACACTGCAGCACCGAGTTCATGAAACACTGCCGGCAAACGGACGGACGGAGGCGCTACATGTGAATCAGCCCAAGCTGCTGCATCAGTCAGATTTCAATCCCCGAATGGGTGTTATGTTCATTGATCATGCCAAATCAGTGGTACCCGATAATTTATAATACACTTACTATGCAAAAAATAGCTACATCTAGCTTACGTTAGACGATTTAATTGGATTATGCCACCTCTACGTCAAATTCAAATAAACTTCAGCTAGGGAGGCTCAGAAGTTCACTGAAGCTTTACTTGTCACGCCGAAACTTCCTCTCCCGCAGCTGTGTTGTGTCAGCACTCACGGTGTTTCCGATGTTCCTCAGTCCGGTGAGGCCGAGCGGCCGGGCGGCTGACCGTCCGCCGCCCCCGCCCCCGCCCGTCTCTCCAGAGCTGTCCAGCCGCGACCTCCGGCTGGAGGAGCCGGCGGCCGTGGACGAGACCGACGCATCCGACAGCAGCGCCGACCGGCGGTGACTCGGAGAAATAGGCTCCTGCGGACAGATACAGATGTCGCCACTGATCACAGTTTGCACTCAGTACGAGGCACCGGAGGCATGGTCCCTCGCGTCGGTCGGAAGCTGAGTTCATAAAGCAGGAATTTGTGTTATCCAGATGGATGATAACGGGCTACGCGCCGCTTATATTATAGTAGGCGGCGCTGACAGAGGCTGGGTTATGTCAACAGCTGCAGGAAGACGACATATTTGGAGGGTAGCACAAAATCGTCTAAGGGGCCGAGTGCAGTCCTAGCAGGCATGACAGTGATTGCCACTCAGTATGTATGTACATACATCTGTGGTACATTGGTGGGATGCGAGTAGCACTACTTCAATAAGGAAAATTTTGCCCTGAATCTGCACCCGGTGCTGCCACGGACTCGAATATTTTAAAAGACATTTGCAAGAAAAGCCATGAAATTTGAACAGACTGGCCAAGCAATGGAGTTCATAATCAGCCGACCAGTTATGAGTCAGAAAATCAAATATTTATACTTTCTGCAACCTTAAGTCGTATCTACAGCACCCTTGACACTTCATTATATGCCCATCCGCTTACGTCGTCCTGACGTCAACGAGCGACCCGCGAACGAGGGTCACTACGACCTTAGTCGTCATGGCAACACACTGAGTCGTCGTGTTTAATTCAGGCTCTGCTGAGTTCACTCTGTCCACCGCTTGGCACCGCTTGGCAGCTCGGCACCGGAGAAGAGAACGAATAGGGAATGCTGCGTCAGGTCCCATGGTAACAGAATTCTGGACAGATCCCGCCCGGGGGCAATCTCTCCATGTGGCACGTTCGTGGCAGTTTCTGGGTTAGTGGGGCGTAGAGAGATGTAGTCATTGAATAGGGCTGCTGGCACTGGAAAAAATGCAACACTAACAAAAACTCAGCGTTACGGCTCAATATGCAACAGAATGCAGAATGCCAAAAGCGACGGTAACAAATCGAGTCAGCCGGAGAAGAAAAACAGCCCAGCGATTGCTTCTCAGTTGAAGAGGGATGATGTAATTGTCAAAGAAAACTCAATCCAGTTAGATGCCAGTTGAGTCAGTCCTACTATACTCCCCGCCAAAGTCAGCCGGTATCACGAGTTAAGCAGCCGTTAAAGGTAGTGTGCCAGCTTTCTTGGACCGTATGGAGTTAATGGCCCAGATAAGGAGAACCGGATTTTTAGAACTTATCCATACCTTCAAAACTCATGGAAACGTCTTAAATTCTTCAAATTTTGAGTACCCCAGTGCGAAATTCGCCCCGACGGGTTGTCGGTCGTACCCCAACCACATTTCACACCACTATGAACAATAAATGCACACACTGAAATCGCTATTACCGATATGCTCATCCAATCAAGTTTCGATAAACCCGTTCATCATCATCTCCTGCGGTTTCGAACACGCCTGTTAGGTGGCTTCTGATGCTCGTCGAGGTCGGAATTTCCAAATACGCGTGGTGCGTCGGGCCGCGCGCTCTGACTTCGGCCAAGAAAAATGCGTCAGCTGATCATTGTCATTTCTGCCACTTGCGTGTGGTGTAATGGGGTCATAACTTAAGAGACGGCTGTTTCATATCAATTATTTTACATAAAATCATATTTCAAACCACAAATTAATGTTCGACAGCCAAATTTAAGAAACAATACCAATACAGGCTTACAGTTTAAGGCTCGACATTGTGTTGTCTACGATTAGACAGCTGATAACTCATTCCCGTACGTCGTATGGTCGTAACACTATAATGACCTTTGCTTATTGTCACAAGTGCGCCGCATTCGCGATTGTTGCCCGACGCCTGTTTGCAGGTGAGCCCACTACAGTTGTTATACATATCTAAAAACCGATAAACTTTTAGGCGAAAAAGGCACTATTCCAGGCCCATTTTTGATTTTTTTGCGATATTAGGTAAAAACAGAAGCTTCTTATCCTAGGAAAAATAAAACGGGAAATCTTTCAAAGGTGGCACACTACCTTTAATGGTTACTGTCAACAGGCCCAATTCACTATCAATGACCTATCAAACACCAACTCAAGCAGCACCGTGGTGTGGTTAGTTAGCACCGACACGGCTGTTCACCACAGCATCACGGTCAATTAATGTGGGTTCGCTTAGTTGGCACCATCTCACGTGAGCCAGCATCGTAACATGAGTTAGTTAGCGTCAGCTGAGGGCCAGTTAGAGTCATCTGAGGGCCAGTTAGCGTCATCTGAGGCTAATTAGCGTCATCTCAGGGCTAGTTAGCATCATCCCATGGGTTAATTCACGGCTAACGTCATCCCAAGGTCAGGTCCACGTCTTGCAGTGTTTTAGCTGCCAAGCCTGGACGCATTGGCTGCGTTTTAGCGGCCCCGGCGAGGCGTGAACCAAGGCAGAGCCACTGCGGATGCCGTCCGGTTGGCAGGCGGCCGGCCGTGCGCGGGAGTTATTTCTGACCAGCCAGCGTCGCACACACAGACAACACACTGAGCTGGGCGCGGCACACAGAAGCTCGGAGAGGAACCACACCGGGCCAGACCGAGCCAGGTCGGACTCGAGACCGGATCGGATCAAGAAACACAGCACACCGGGTCGGATCGGGCTGAGCACAGCCCGCGGTTACCTTCAGGTCAGACAGCTCGCTTTCATCCCGCAGCTGGGGTCCGCCAGAGTCACGTCGGCCACGTCCCGTCGCAGGCGACGCCAGGTACCGCTCCCACTTTTTGAACAAAACAAACGCCACTGTCAGCAGTAGCAGCGAGACGAACGTCGCCAGCAGGTAGTGCAGGTTGTGGGTGGGCGGCCAGGGCGGGCGGCGCCGCCTACGCCGGCCGCCAGCCGCCCCCGCCCCCGCCCCCGCCAGCGCGTCGGCACGCGTCCACCGCCCGACAGCGCCGCTGCCGCCGCCGGAGCCGCCACTGGCCGGCGACGGCGAGCAGCGGGAGGGCGGACGACGGGCCGCGTGGGTCCGCCGTCGACGCCAAGTGCCACTGGCCGAGGACACGGTGACGAGAGCGGGAGAGTCGTGATCGACGCTAGAGGTGGCAAAATGTGGACCCGAGGACCCGGTCCCAAGAACCAGTCTGGACCCATATGGGTCCAGACCGGTTCCTGGAACTTTTCTGACGGGTCCAACCGGGTCCTTCCATAAACTATACATATTGCACACTACATGATTATTGCAAAATATTAAGTGAATGAAGTGAATGTTTCTTTGCACACAATAGCTCGTGAGTATTCCCAGTGGGAAATAGGCTGTTTTACTTGATGCAACTAATGATACCTACTAGTTTGTATTAATTGACTTTTGGGGAACGGGTCCAACTGGTTCCGATTCCAACTAAGACCGGGTCTGACTGGTTCCAGAAATGTCCAGCCGGGTCTGGTTCGAGTCTGGTTCCCAAAATTGTCATCTTTTGCCACCTCTAATCGACGCGCGTAATTACACCCGGGCCCAAACGCAAAGTCGAAAGTATGCTTTCATCGTGCACCGTGAACCGATCCGATTACAAAAATAGATGGCCGGAAGTCGGAACGGCAACGCCTCCGACGTCCGTATACAATTCCCAACCAAATCAAAACACCAAAACATCGAGCTTTACCGAGGAAACTGTTGTTTATCAGGCGCTTAGACCGCTTCATTCCCCAAATCACGACAAAACATAAAGCTGTCCCGACCTAACAGCATTGTAAGTACTAAACCACCGTCATGCTACCGCGGCCTGCCAGACGAGAGGCACTGTCAGCAAAGCCCGACCGGCCCGAAGCCATCGGAGTCGGTCAATTCAGCCGGGCCGGGACGGTGATTCATTGTCGGGCCCGTGGCCAAGCGCCTGTCTGCGCCACAGGCTGTCTGACCCCACAGCCGACAGGCACAGCCGACGGGCACGGACGTGTATAATGCGGTCTGGTGCGCAGCGCCAACGGCACGCACTACCGATGACCCCGGTCGGTCAACACGCACGCATAGCATGCAATCGGGGGCGGCCGTCACGAGCGTGCGCGGGCTGAGTGGAGTGTTGTGATTTGGACGACCCTGAGCGATATGGAAAAGGATGGTGCCACTGAATAACAGCGAAACATGCGCGTTTGAGATCCAAAGAACGGAATATTCAAAACTCATTACTCGCAGATGTACCTAATCATTCTGTTTTGATGGATTGTATATTAGCTATGAAAGTCCATTTCCGGCCTGATGAAAATTCACAAAAATACACTGTACACTGAACTTACAGGCCTGAGGCCACCAAAATGAATTTAGCTGAACTAGCCACCAAAGTCAGAAACTCAGTCCAGCCCGACCAGCATACCACCTAGTCAGAGCCAAACGAAAATAGAAGCGACCGTTCCATCCTGGGCGTATACTAAGCACCGGAGGCTCTGGATTCCCAAGCCGTTGATTTGTGAATCAGGGGAGAGCGGGAAACAGAGCGAATGGAAATGGAATACGGCACAGAGGTGAAAGCGACCCATGCGACTAGACTGGCGGACGTGGGTTCGCAGCCGACAGAATGGCGAAATGAGCGACTCCTACGCCGATCGGCGCTGGCGGGCTAAACGAAGTGCCCGGGGCGATCGGGGCAGGCCAGAATCTCCGCTACCGCTGGATCGGGACGGGAGCCAGCAGCGTGAGACAGTCCCTATCGCAGCTGGAGCCTGGATCAGGCGACCACCTGGGTCCCCGCTGGAGTCTGGATCGGACGACCGCCTGGGTCCCCGCTGGAGTCTGGATCGGGCGACCGCTGGATTGGGCTGGGTGCGACGGCGACCGCCTCTGTCGTTGTTGCAGTCTGGATCGGGCGACCACCTGCGTCGATGCTGGCTCGGCCTGGATGACACCCTGGTACTGGCCGTCTGCCATGACAACACTGGTCCGCCCCCGCCCTGGCCCCCGCCATCGTTCCGGCAAATGAAAGCTCTTGGCAGCGGAGAGGACTGGAGCGGCTGGCTGCGCAGGCGAGCATAGGTACTGGTCGCCACGCTTACCGCCGGCCTGGCTTCATTTACATGCATCAGCTGTGGCTACGTCGCAAAAAGCTGTCCCTAAACTAAGCAAAAATAAAAACAATCAGCCAATGGCTTCGAACCCAGTGTCTGACTGGATTTAATTATGTGTTTCTTAATTCATCCCTACCTACCTTGATTTCGAATGTGACACCAAAGGTCCCGGGCCAAATCCATGGACGGGCTACTAAACAGCATTAGGAAAAGAGCGATAATAATTAACAACTGTCGCGATTACAAAGCACTGACGGAGCGCCACACACGGCAGAACGCAGAATACGACACGGCAAGGCAGAGCAGGCGGAGCGCTCTGTGCCCTCCCCCTCCTCCACTGTAGTAAGAAGTCACAGAGCCGACCATAAACTCAGCGCTGCCGACAATCTAGCTCGGCCGCCGCAGGATAAGGTCCCGAGGCGTGACTGGGATAAGGTCACTGTAACAAAGTGTGTACTGATGTCTGGAACGGCCGCCTCTCAGGCAGCATTAATACATTCGCCGCGAGCTCTTATCGTGGCAATTCAGCCCAGGTAGGCTCATCATGGCCAGCTGAGCTCGGTCTATTTCAGGTCATGCAGCCTTATCTGCGGAGTCCTAACGCCGCGCCTCATTCCACCAAAGCACAAGTCCCATGTCCAATGTAGCTCTGCTCCACCGTCAACCGACACAGCGTCGGTTGACAAACGGCGTCCGTCGGTTCATAGCATTCACCTAACGGCCAAGTGGCCGCCCCCGCCCCCGCCAATGCCGCCCAAACGTGGCACGCACGTACATACAGGTGGCTGAGGCTGTATTAGCCAGCGCGCCCAATGGTCGTCTCCCACGCATACACAGAAGTTTAGACAGATGTGTCTCCATGGGCGTGGCTGTGGCCCGCTGAGACTGGCGTTACGGGGACGTAAGGACGGCGATTGATATACCAGTGTGTCGGAGAGAGACAGTCTAATAGGCCAGCATGTGTTTCATCGAGCGAATGTGACGTCGGATACCATGCGGATCCATGACTTGTAAGCTGTAAGTCCAGCGATGAAAGTGAAACAATGACAACGGGAGAACCTATGGGGGTTTTCAATAAACCTATTCGACAAAAACACGGCGCGCTATTCTTTTCTAACATCATGTGAACAGAACTATAGCCAGTACACGGTTGACCACATGACCGGACCTGCACCAATCCCTGCAACCACCGAGGGCTTATCCAGCCTTCGCAGTGTCCCTCTGTACCTCATGACATTGCATGCACCAATCCCCGGAACTGTGAGGCAGAGGTCGGCGGGGTCGGGCAGAGGGCAGGGCGGCACACGCGACACCGACGACCTAAACACGGTCTAAGGGCAGCGAATGCACGGCCTGAGCTCGACATGAAGCACGGTGCGAGCACGCGCTGAAGCAATACGAGCAATACGCAATACGCTGTACGAGCACTGTCTAAGCACGACCTGAGCACGTCTGAACACGGCACCATTATACGAGTAGGTATGTTATATTGTATTTACACGAGTAGGACGCATTCAACTACGACAAGGGACCAGAAAAAAAAAACTTGCAATAGATTGGGTCACGCATGGTTGGCTTATTCTTAAGAAATGTCTCATCTCGCCAGCAGCTACATGATTGACTAGGCGACGCTCTCATGTGTGTATGAGAATGTTCACACCGACGATCGAATATCGACTGTGGCAGCCAGCTACATCGGCGTCTTTTTAAATGGCAATATAGAAAGGCGACAGCCACCGTTCTCCTGAGCGAGAACCCCGCACGCACACTTTATCCCAGAACATCTCCCACACCGCGGGATTACGTTTAACTCTCTGTCGCGTCGCTGTGACCCTGAAACAACGCCTCTGCACGAAACCCGACTGAGACTAATCGATTACCGAACACAATAACCCCGACTACCACGCTTCATTCGGAAACACACGAAAAAAAAACGGTAGTTGAACGGGGGGGGGGGCTTGGGCCTTGGCACAACAGCCTCTGGTGTGCCGGCTCTTGCATCGGCCATCTGGTGCTGAGAGCGATATTGTATCAGCTGTGAGACAAGATTTGCGAATTGCCCAGCCGGTGCAATATAGGACGTGCTAGGATGCTAGGATAAAGCAACACACCCGTGTAGCTTAGACTACAACGGAGGAATATACAGCGGAGGTAATGGATATCAGGGTCCGTAGGGCCTAGGAGACAGACGGAGAGTTCAGACAGTCTCGCGCGTGCCGCCGACCCCACCATCACTCAGACGCCCCGTCAGGGTATGTCCGAGGTTCCACGGCCATCGCACGCGACGCTCCGGAGGTGAGGAAGACCCACAAATCATGGCCCCGGAGCTCGCCGTGCCGTGACGAGGAATGAACGGGCGTCACACGACGTGTCATCACAGTCATTAGGGAGAAAATTAGGTGTTGGCAGCCTGAGACCGGCTTACTTGGCAGACCAATGACGATGTAAACGGAATACAACAGTGTGTCAATAGTTTGGTCTAATAGTGCTTTCTTCCCCGAGAAAACACTTGTTATTGAGCGGCTCTCCAGTTGTGCAAATTGCAATGGAAGCTTTGTAAATAAATCTGCAAAGGAGAGTGTCAACCTGGAAAATCATCCCGAACTATGTTTGGTGAATAATATGTATGCTGCTTCCGTGACACAATCCATACGTTGGTCGTCGCCCTAGCATTTACAGCCAATTACTTGGCCCACCAACCAGACCCGTTACACTGATCCCGTCATGACGCGTTTCATCGGCTCTCACCTTGTCGCTGGAGGGCGCCGGCCGCTGTCGTCCCGTCGCCCCGCTGACCACGGAGACCGCCGGCGAGTCGGCCGTCCTGCCGCCCACCACGCGGTCGCTCGCCTCCTTCCCCGCCGTCGACGCCGCTGCCGCCGCTGAAGACGTAGCTGACTCGTCGGCAGCCGCGTCGGCGATGCGTGCCGCGTCGAACTGCCGTCGAAGCTCCCCGACTGTGCGGGTCGGCTCGGCGCGGTCCCGCTCGAGTGTGATGGGAACGATCCTCTCACGGGACTGCGACTCTGACGTCCGCCAGCGGCGTGTCTCAGTGCCGTTTGTGGAGCTGTTTGAGTCGATCCGATCTAGCAGTCGGCCCGTGCCCTCGGAGGCGAGCAGTGAGCGCAGAGAGGAGCCGCCCGGCTCGCGACTCTCGCTGCGCGTCAGCCGCTCGCGGCGCTCCTGTAGATAGCGGCGAGCCTCGGTCAGTGCGTCTGACGGCTCGGTGCTGCCGTCCCGCCGTCCGAGAAGACGCGCTGGAGAAGCTCGAGTTGTGGCCGGCTCATGACGTCGGCGAGAGTCGCCGGTGGGCAGCGGCGGCCGGCGGGAGGACGACCCAGACGAAGAAGAGCCTGACAGTCGTGAACTGAACTTGCTGGAGAGGGGGCTGTAGCCGGCGCGCTCCAGACTGGAGGCGCGGTAGCCGGCGCCGCGCGAGCCGTAGCTGGATGAGGGAGAGAAGCCGGAGAGGGAGAGTCGAGAGGAGACTGGCATCGCCGAGGAGTAACTCGCTAGCCGAGAGAAGGTGACGTCACCACGCTCTGAGCTCATGCCGCAGCGCCCGGGTCAACCTGCCGGAGAAGAGGTCACAGAGGTCAGAGTGGGGTCACAGTATGACCGGGTAAGACGGTCACAGAGGTCACAGTGCCCGGTCAACCTATCGAACAGACGGGCACAGAGGTCAGAGTGAGATAACGGCGCAGTTTTCGAGTCAGCCTGTAGGGGCAGACGGTCGCTGGGTTCAAACTGAGGTTGCTGCGCAGGAACAAGATTAAGCAGCTAACAACAGAGCTTGGCATGAGTCAGATCACAGCAAAACAGCGCATTTACTCCAAAGCCGACGTTTTAGCATGATTTAGCCTCCCAAAAATAGAACAAGCTTCAAAGTATATAATTTAAAAAAATAACAGCTAAAGGCAGTGGGCCATTATGTTTCGTACACCACTAGCCACATCAGTGGCGGATCCAGGGGAGGGCAAAAAGGGCATTTGCCCTCCCCAAAGCCAAATCGTGTGGGCAAGACTATCTTTTTGCCCCTCCCAAAACATGTAGCGATGAGCAAATCTTATACGGCGTCGATGCCTATATGGACGAAAAGCAGGGCTTCTTTCCGTGACGGCCATTCCGAAGGAAGGAGCTGACCACTGGCTGCTGATATTTTGGGTCGATATGCTGATATTAGATTGAACCCCTGAACTGAATGCATGCATAAGCATATGCAGTGTGGCCAATGGCCATGGTGTGGGGTAACACGGGGCAAGATGCCCAGTCGGGTAAGACGCCCACCACCATATATTCGAAATTACCTAAGCAATCCACAGTTTTGTCATTTGTTGGGAGCCTCATTGCTGTGGAGCGTTCCGCGTAAAAAAAAAACGGCGACGTGCCTAGCCGCCATTTTATACTTATTTTTTGCATATGTTCTGAAAATGTCAGACCAAGGTCTCTCAAGGTCACGAAGTCACTAAGCTGTAGGTGCTACGTCAAGTGACATAACCTAAAACAGTTCCAATGCTTGCCATAGCTAAACCGAGTGACGGATCGCTTTGAAACTTTCAGCAGTTAATAAGGGTAACAGTACCTACCCAGTAAACATGCCGACGTCGGCCCGACGTCGGCCGACGTCGGGGTGACGTCGGCCGACGTCGGGGTGACGTCGGCCGACGTCGGGGTGACGTCGGCAACTCGGCATCGGCATGCCGACGTCGGCCCGACGTCGGTCCAACCTCGGCACGACGTCGGCTGGATGTCGGATATGCCCGCATGTACCGACGTCCAGCCGAGGTCCAGCCGACGTCGGGCCGACGTCGGACCGAGATCAATTGCTGAGGTCCAGCCGACGTCGGGGCGACGTCGGACCGACATCGGCCGCTGTTTTGACCGTTAAAATAATATAAAATGCATGTTTCATGTTTCATAAAGAGCTTCTGTATTCAAAATATCCTCAGGAAACTCAAAGCTTCCTCCACGCCGCAAACCCCTGATCCGGACTGGACGGGAAACTTTATCCCATTTGGGATTGCCCGTAAGCCGAGCTCGCCCGTAGCCGGGTGCGGTGATCGAGTGCTTGGGGGCTGCTCGGCCTATCCTTTGGTCGAAGGCTCAGCCCCGGCAACTCACCAGGGCCGGGCCCAGTTCATATAGAAAGGCCAGTCGGCAAGTGTCACTTTGCCAAAGTGCCACTTATCAAAGGGACACTTTGGGAAACGTTGGTGCAGGTGTGTAAGAGTGGCTATATGAATCCATTGTGGGGTCGCCCTTTCCAATAAGTGTCACGTAACAGCAATGGGACCTGGGACTCTATATGAACTGGACCCAGGGTGCTCGCCAAGAAGACCAATGTCTCCATTCTATCATCCTTCCGGCTCTGAAATGGTCTTGTCAGACCGAAAGGCATAACCCAACAAAACAAACTAAATTACCTATCTGGATGCGTGGTGTAGTGGTTAGCGCACTAACCTCGCGTTCTAATGACACGGGGTTCGAATCCCATCGCCGGATGATGCTTTTGGCGTGTTGTCCCAGTAAACATTTCGACGTCGGCGACTGGGGGGCTCGAATCCCGCCGCCGGTTGATATTTTTGGCGCGTTGTCCCAATAAACATGCCGACGTCGGCCCCGTCGGTCCACGTCGGCATGTTTACTGGGTATGTACAAAATGTTAGTCACATGATTTTTATATCGATGACCTAGGGCTAGGTCATTTTTGCGACCTCTCCACTATAAGTCAATAAGAGAAAATTGAAAGGCACCTTTTTGGGGCAAACCTCCTGTCCGGTAGCTCAGTTGGTAAAGCAGTGGACTCCCGGTAGTGAGAGCCCGGGTTTGAGTCGCTCCGGCGCTCGATATTTGAGACTCCTGACGGGGATGGTTTGAGGTTGGTGGGAGCAGCCGCAGCCATTCAAAGTCAGGAGTGGGACAGGCCGTGTCCGTTTTTGAAGGGCACGTAAAACATTGGCATCGTTAAACGTTAAACTAAATTCTCCTGTCACCCGGAATTACGCTATCGGACGGTAGGGGTCGGGCTCTACGCAACAAGCTCTGCTTAGCGTAGGTCCAGCTCCCGTCAATCCGCCCTTTCAAACATTCGTGCTAAATTTATAAGAAACGTCACTCTTAACAATACCGAGTTACAACCTAAACAGCACACAGTGAACCGGAAAATAGCACCCGTGACCCCTCCTCATGTCCCTGAGATCATCTCAGGTCACGAAAGATATGCAATAGTTTGCAGCAATTCGCTAATGCCGAATTTACACGATGCCGGTAAAAGTAAGATCGCACAAGGTTTGATTCAAAAGTTATCGCAGAAAATCCGTTCCCGTAAAAATAGTGTATATTATGGCAGTTTCCCCCGGAGGCTAAACCGTTGATCTTAGGTCGAATCTGAGCGAATTATCCAGAAATAGCAGTAACAGTGCTATCAAATTAGCTTTTCTGGGGCGCTCTGGCTCTATTCGTTTCCGAGTTATGCGCCAGTTCTTCAAAAATTGTCGAAACTGGGCCTAAATATTATCGGGATTTGGCCTTTGATGGGCTCTGGTGATCTGACCTGACCTTAACCCTATTCCTGGCGGGGGGGGGCCTCTGGAGCCCCCCCCCCCCCTGAGGTTTTTTGGTTATTTCTCCCAAACGCGTTGAGCTAGGAAGCTCAAATTTTCTGACTTTTCCTACAAGGCTTCTACGCAACATGTCTGAAAATTTTGAGTTGATCTGACCTCAGGTCAGGTCACCAGAGGCGGTTTGGTGACCCTACCTCAGAAAAGTTTGCAATCACGCCAGAGCTAGAGTTTTTGACCGATCAATTTCTTCTCTTCAGGCTTTAGTTAGGGTACCAGTATGTGCAATTTGTATATCTCGGAATTTTGATATCGGTGACCTAAGGTCAGGTCAGTTTCGCGACCTCCCCATTATAAGTCAATGGGGGAAAAATCAACTCCCTGTTTTTACCACTAAAACGGGTCGGAATGGCCCCATATACCATACATGACTTCATATACGATCAACCTTCACTACCTTGAGGTCTGTTTTGCTGTTGGGCAGCTGTGAGGTCATGTGAGGTCATCAAAGGTCACCAAAGGTTTTTGGCCAATAACTCCGTACAGGAACAAGATACAGACGCGTGGATGGTCTCATTGTGTTCAGCTCGTCAAGACGCATCGAATGATATACATGATGACCTCGAGGTCACGTGACCTGAGGTCAACCTTTGACCTTGACCTTTCGAGGTCAACATATATATCATTCGATGCGGATTGACGAGAGGATCACGATGATGCCCTTAGTTTGTTCCTATCTTGACTAATTCGAAAGTTATTCGAGAAAAACTCTCTCCAAATCTAGCGCCGCCATTTTGAGTTTTTCGACCCCTGTGACGTCATCTTTGACCTGACCTGAAAATGACCTACGTAAAAATTGTAGATCTTGACCGTGCGTATCCGATGCCGTTTACCGCTTGTCGCTATCTTGCTTCGTTCTCGATATCTCAGGGGGGGGGGCCGAATCGCCCCCCCCCCCCGCCAGTTTCTTGTCCCGGCGGAGCCCGCCAGGAATAGGGTTAAAAGTGACTGGGGTAATTTGGTCATTATGTTTGACACTCATTCAAACGCCGCCTACCGCGTGTTGCTACGTGGCCCAGGAGCCGAGTTAGAAGGGATATGGGCGTTCAAACATCCCCCAGGGGCATGAAAATCCAGGAGCCCCAGCGCGGCTGGGCACAGATTAACATACGACATTTTACACCATCTTACGGTAAGATGGTGTAACTGGCGTTGTGAAGTAACTTGGTCACTCGTGCGGTGGTGGGTCGGGGTCGCCGATGGTCGGCTAAACTTTTGCCCTCCCCAAACGGATCGGCTGGATCCGCCCCTGAGCCACATACATTATTACATAGCACGGTCTGGCGCTGCAGTGCCCTACTTATGAGTCCCTCCGACCAATGATCCATCAAAACAGACGACACAAGTCACAACTAACGAAGGTCAGCCCGTCAGCCCGGCCACGTTTTCGGATTTCCTCGGACTCGCCGTCCTCTCGCTTAGCGGCGGCGTCATCAGTGAAAATACGCCACGCCGACCGACCGCCGGGCTATTTCGATCTGACCCCCCCCCCCCGTCCCTCTCCCAAGTCTGGGTCGTCAGTCGTGGCTGCGGCAGCGCTGAGCTTTGCTCCAAACAAAGCCGCCAGCGAGTGCAGCTGGTGGAGCTTACGAGCCAGTCAGATGCGAGACTGCAGTAGTGAGGATACACAGAGATATACTGGACAAATACAGAGTTATAACAAGAGAGATGTCATGAAAGGGATTTCAAGGGAATAAGGTGGCACTTGGCATACCATATGGTCCCGGTATATTTCGACGCTTATCTAAGTGAGATCACCATGTTTACTCCTGTTCCTGTCGCCGAGCAAGGGACTTTTCGAGGAGGTATATTTGTAGAAACTGAAGCCCAACGCTGAGGATTTCGTTGATAGAACTGGTGCTCATCCTCAGTCACACGGCTTTTAGCGAAACAACAGAGAACGACGGGCTCGCTCACATTCAGTCTGAGAGCACATATTCAAATATGGCGTT